TCCACTCATTACCTGTATTAATTGCACCTGTTTGAACTCGTTACCTGTATAAAAGACACCTGTCCACACACTCAATCAAACAGACTCCAACCTCTCCACAATGGCCAAGACCAGAGAGCTGTGTAAGGACATCAGGGATAAAATTGTAGACCTGCACAAGGCTGGGATGGGGTACAGGACAATAGGCAAGCAGCTTGGTGAGAAGGCAACAACTGTTGGCGCAATTGTTAGAAAATGGAAGAAGTTCAAGATGACGGTCAATCACCCTCGGTCTGGGGCTCCATGCAAGATCTCACCTCGTGGGGCATCAATGATCATGAGGAAGGTGAGGGATCAGCCCAGAACTACACGGCAGGACCTGGTCAATGACCTGAAGAGAGCTGGGACCACAGTCTCAAAGAAAACCATTAGTAACACACTACGCCGTCATGGATTAAAATCCTGCAGCGCACGCAATGTACCCCTGCTCAAGCCAGCGCATGTCCCGTCTGAAGTTTGCCAATGACCATCTCGATGATCCAGAGGAGGAATGGGAGAAAGTCATGTGGTCTGAGACAAAAATAGAGCTTTTTGGTCTAAACTCCACTCGCCGTGTTTGGAGGAAGAAGAAGGATGAGTACAACCCCAAGAACACCATCCCAACCGTGAAGCATGGAGGTGGAAACATCATTCTTTGGGGATGCTTTTCTGCAAAGGGGACAGGACGACTGCACCGTATTGAGGGGAGGATGGATGGGGCCATGTATCGCGAGATCTTGGCCAACAACCTCCTTCCCTCAGTAAGAGCATTGAAGATGGGTCGTGGCTGGGTCTTCCAGCATGACAACGACCCGAAACACACAGCCAGGGCAACTAAGGAGTGGCTCCGTGAGAAGCATCTCAAGGTCCTGGAGTGGCCTAGACAGTCTCCAGACCTGAACCCAATAGAACATCTTTGGAGGGAGGTGAAAGTCCATATTGCCCAGCGACAGCCCCGAAACCTGAAGGATCTGTATGGAGGAGTGGGCCAAAATCCCTGCTGCAGTGTGTGCAAACCTGGTCAAGACCTACAGGAAACGTATGATCTCTGTAATTGCAAACGAAGGTTTCTGTACCAAATATTAAGTTCTGCTTTTCTGCTGTATCAAATACTTATGTTATGCAATAAAATGCAAATGAATTACTTAAAAATCATACAATGTGATTTTCTGGATTTTTGTTTTTTATTACAGACCTCTACATGCTTTGTAAGTAGGAAAACCTGCAAAATCGGCAGTGTATCAAATACTTGTTCTCCCCACTGTACATATTAAAGCACATAAGCATATCTAAACACCATTATAACCCTATTACTCCCCTCCCTCCCTCCCTCCCTCCCTCTCTCCCTCCCTCCCTCTCTCCCTCCTCCCTCCCTCCCTCCCTCCCTCCCTCCTCTCCCACAGTTTGAGTCCTGTGGGCCTGGTACTCCTCTGTCTGCAGTACCTGTCTGAGCTGGGCTTCCACATCGCCAGAATGTTCTACTTCACTGATGAGAGCCACCAAAAGATGTGAGTTCCTACTTCCAACTCTGTGGCCTTGTGGTTAGTGTCCGCCCTGAGATTGGAAGGATGGGGGATCCCCGGTTGAGTCATACCAAAGACTCTTAAACTGGGACCTGATGCCGCTCTGCTTGGCACTCTCATTAATGAGATAGATTGGGGGTAAGGACCTGAGATAGACTAGTGTCCTGTCCAGGGGGTGTACTTGTACATCATGCTGCCTCACGCTACAGAATCAGGAGATGGGCTCCTTCCCAGTGGGCCGTTCTGGCTCGGACAAGGCTTGCTTACCTTTGTCATAACCTACTTAGTCCACCTTCCAACTGCACAACAACATATCATATAGAAGTGCTGTTCATATTATAATGTGATATGAACTACACTTCATTAAAGGTGGACTCTGTAATATGACATCACCAGACACAGCGGGGTGACTTCCTGAAAAATAACCTGCCAAGACTCCCACTATTGGCTCATTGCAATTTCCACATTCTTGGCTAATCTGCATTTTGTTGTTGATATAAAAAATAAAATAAAAAAAAGCTGAAAGTCTCCCTGCTGCATATGATTGTCTTATTGCTGACTACCTTTAATGGCAGTGCATGCCTTGTGATCAATCATAATAATCATAATCCATTTCTGTTATTTACTGATGTGTGTCCAGGTTTGACCTCTGGGCCGTGAACTTTGTGTTCACGCGGATGGTGACCCTCACCCTTGTGTTCCTGGCTGTGGGTTTCGGGTTGGCCCGTGCCGAAAATCAGGGGCTGGACTGGAACATGGGCAACTTTAACACTGTGCTGATACGGTAAGGGTTTTTAGTGGCTTCTATGTCTAATGTACACAAATTACACACATGTGCACTCACACAAACACACATCCTTTCCTCTCTCTCCCCTCTCCCCCCCTCCCTCTCTCCCTCCCCCCCTCCCTCTCTCCCCCCCCCTCCCCCCCTCCCTCTCTCCCTCTCCCTCCCCCTCTCTATCCCTCCCACCCGTCTCTATCCCTCCCACCCGTCTCTCTCTCTCTCTCGCTCTCTCGCTCTCTCTCTCTCAAAATAGGATGCCTGTGTTGTTGCTGGTGAGTCTGACCCAGTCCTGGCTCCTGTGGAAGTTTATCCATTTCCAGCTGAAGCGGTGGCGAGAGTTCAGACACGCACAGGCCGCTAGGAAGAGGGCCGCCGCCAAGCAAACCCCCCGACCGCTGAAGAGAGACTCCCGTGAGTGGACACACACACACGTGCTTTAATTGTAAGAGTTGAAGACATTCTATTACAGCGAACAGCAAGTGTAGTTAGGATTATCTGACTATATGTTAATGTGTGAATGCCCTCCTCTCCCTCCTCCAGTTGGCCACCATGAAAACGGCACAATCAAAGCAGAGAACGGAGCATCTCCTCGACCCAAGAAGATCAAGGCACCTTAATGTCTCCACCCATCATGGCTGCCCTAACAGTGACCCTGATTATATGGCTTATCAATCAGAGGAACAGGAAACTGGTCCCACACAATTCATCCTCTTCCTGTTTTGCATATTTTCCGGAGGTGACGTGGTCTGTCGCTATTGACACAACAAGGCTTAAAAAATGCTGGATGAAAATGAAATTCCAAAACCAAACCCCCCTCGAGCCCTGAACAGACATTTACTCTCATATCAGTATTTATTTTATACAGCTGCCTGTTATGGACACTGGTTCTGATCTCCCTGTATACTGAACGATGTATGTTATTTGTGGCACAATGTATACTGTGTGTCATATTGAATGTGTTGATGCCTGTTCCTCGTGTGTTAATAACTGTACTGGCCTGGGGTTTGTCAAGATGCCGCTGTCTTTGAGCTCTGCCGTTGTTGTCGTTGAATGAGCCGGCTTCGCTTTTGTTTCATAGCATGGGTCGTATTCATTAGGCACCAAACGGAAGAAAACTGACTGAAACATGGACGGACTGGACTTGTACAATAAACACTCATTTTCGGTTTCTGTTGCAAAATGTTTTGTGCCCTAATGAACACGACCCTGGTTACTTGGTGCAGGAAGGATGTTGCTGGTTCTACAGTGGCCCTAAAGGTATATCAGCGCGTGCTGGCTTTGATGCTACCCAATCAGTGATGGGCGGGACCAATTCTGGGGCTCTGGTTACTCCTTGACCCCTCCCTCTGGGTCATGGTCGGAGTGAGTCGGACCGTGCTGTGGTCACTTTACACTAACCAGGACCATCCTGATGACCAGCAGATATGTTGGATAATACTGCATGCTATTCAATTGTTTTTGTTAAAGAAGTCTCTATTTTTACTTTATTAAATAATGCATTGTTCTCAAATGCTGAGGTTTGAACAGTTATTTTTGTCTATTGCATTATTACCTTGATGTGAATCGGTTTTGTATGTGTTAAAATGTACTGAATGTTTCCAAGTCATTTGACTTTTATGGCCATAGCCACAACGTAGGAAGTATTGCAGGCACAAAGGGGCTGTGTCCTTGATTCCTCAATTCCTGTCATAGCTCACTGGAGGAGGAGGAGGGAGGGGCCTTGGATCCTCTCGTCCAATGCACTTCGACAGGAATTGAGGAAACAAGGACGGAGGAAGCATGGATTGCAATGTTTTCAGACACAGATGGTCTTGGGTCACTGTAGTCTTGCATACCAGCCAGCCTCTTTCCCTATAGGCTGTAAGTAGCTTTGAGCAAGCCGAGGCCTATCTCCTGATTCTGTAGCGTGAGGCAGCTTGATGTACAAGTACACCCCCTGGACAGGACGCTAGTCTATCGCAGGGCCTTACCCCCAATCTATCTCCTTAATGAGAGTGCCAAGCAGAAATGCATCAAGTCCCATTTTTACAGTCTTTGGAATGACTTGGCCGGGGATCGAACTCCCAATCTCAGGGTGGACTCTATTCACAACAAAAATAAGAATGTTTAAACAGGAATGAAAAACACAATTTAAATCACTGTAAAACTACCACACCTGCTATGCAATAGTGTTTTAATGTCAACAATTTCCAGTTGATATACTTGCATTTCCAAATGGTTAAGTCTTCTCTGTGTGTAATTACAACTAATTGGGGCTTTTTAGCCTAAAAGTCAGCACTCTGACTTGTCTTAAATGACGGTGTTGAGACTTGTCTCCAAAACAGTGGCACAGACAGACGTTCTAGCCACCACAGAGGACAGAGAAGAACACAGCCTAATGAAGTGTTGAGGTATTCTTTATTCCAAGGTCATCCATTTTGGCTCAATCTGTATATATTTTACCTTAAACATTGTTCACTTGTCCCGTTGGTGAGCCCTACAGGGGAGAATGAAATGTTTAATTCTGTCCAGTAGGTGTCAGCCCACTTACAGAGACGGGCATGAGGTCCAGTGTTTTCAGAATCACATTTATTTATCGTGAGAAACATAGCGCAAGGGTGTGCCTAGGCTTTGGTTCATAATCTGAAGTGGTTTGGAGGAGAAGAGGTTCTGTAGGGGATTAACACTTCCTCTCATCAAGAAGAGGGTTCCGCTCTTTCAATGTCCTCTGAGGAAAGAAGGGAGGAGAGGAATGAGAATACTGTTAGAGGGGGGATGGTTTATACTGTACACTATATATACAAAAGTATGTGGACACCCCTTCAAATGAGTGGATTCGGCTATTTCAGCCACACCCGTTGCTGACCGGTGTATAAAATCGAGCACAAAGCCATGCCATCTCCATGCAATCTGGCAGAGTAGAATGGCCTTACTGAAGAGCTCAGTGACGTTCAACATGGCACCGTCATAGGATGCCACCTTTCCAACAAGTCAGTTCGTCAGATTTCTGCCCTGCTAGAGCTGCCCCGGTCAACTGTAAGTGCTGTTATTGTGAAGTGGAAACGTCTAGGAGTAACAACGGCTCAGCGGCGAAGTGGTAGGCCACACAAGCTCACAGTACGTGACTGCCGATTGCTGAAGCACGTAGCGTGTAAAAATCGTCTGTGCTTGGTTGCAACCAGTGGCGGCTCCTGAAAAAATTCTCAGGGGGGGCAATTTTTCTGATGATTTAGGTGACCTACACACATTTTAAAAAAGATATGTCCAGCAACAACATGAAGACAGGGGCAGCATATAAGTCAATACCAGAAGCATTTATTGACTGAGCTCAAAAGTGTTGGCTTACCAGGGTTGGTGGAGCCCTCAGTTTCATCTTTGCCTCGCAAAGCTAACTCAAACACTCCGCAAAACTTCACACACTGGATTAGCCGGCTGAGGATGTGGCGGTTCTTGCTAATGTCGTAGTAAATATATTTGTTATAGTGAATATGGAATATGATATGTTGAGTAAAATGTTGTGCTAAGATCTATTTAGGTCAGGAGCTGGTTATAAGTTCTGTTCCTATCCAATAACAATGGACAAAAGGGTCCTATCTTGTCAGCCTTGTCAGTTTCAGTTCTCCAGTAAACTTGTGATTATCAACACTAACCTCATCGTTGTGGCGGCGGACAGCTAGCCTGTATCCCTCATCCAGTTGAGTGGGAATGTTCACTCTCCCCAAAGCAGACAATCTCAAACAGCTATCCATGTGGGTCTTTGACAGCTCATGTTTCTTAATCTTTCCTGAAAGATGGTGCATGTCCGTTACACACCAGTCGCTGTCCAAGCGGTGCTGTCTGCCGTGCCGCCTTCAGGGTGAAAGAGTAAGCAGGGGGTAGCAGAAGACTGCATTAGCTACATCGCAGCCTGCTAGCCAGGTTTTTCGTTCGTACCAATTTTTGGAAAATCCTCGGGTGTAGGACTTCCCCCCTTTAGTAGAAACCTGTTGAATTATTAAATTTGGTCTGGGAGGTCCTAATTGTTTCGTTGCCAATTTATCTTCATTTGTTCGCCGACAAAAAGGAACTTCTTTCAAAGACACAATCGAGTTGCACTGAAGCCTAGCCATTTTGATAGTAGTAGTGAATTGATTGACGAGGCTACCCGCTCTTTTCTTAGTTACGTTCATGGTTATGTTACGTATGACGAAAGCGCGTAAGTGCAAGCCCTCAGAAACCCATAGAGATTGTATTGAAAGCTCTGATATTTGAAAAAAATAGATTTTACATGGGAGTCTATGACAGACTTCTGGGCGATTTTCAACCTGACTGAAATCGCCCCAAAAGGGGGGGGGGGGCCATTTGAAGCACGACTTTAGCCTGATTGGACATTTAGTGGCACTGTGGCAGATCAGACGTCTAGATTACAACACTGATAACTACTGTTGCCGTGATATAATTGATTAGAAAAAAAATCCCTTCCTTTTCCCGTTTGGCAGTGCGTCGCCCATATCGCCCTATTGAACACACCGCCCCTGGTTGCAACACTCACTACCGAGTTCCAAACTGCCTCTGGAAGCAACGTCAGCACAAGAACTGCTCGTCGGGAGCTTCATGAAATGGGTTTCCATGGCCGAGCAGCCGTACACAAGCCTAAGATCCCCATGTGCAATGTCAAGCGTCGGCTGGAGTGGTGTAAAGCTCGCCGCCATTGGACTCTGGACCAGTGGAAACGCGTTCTCTGGAGTGATGAATCACGCTTCACCATCTGGCAGTCCGACGGACGAATCTGGGTTTGGCGGATGCTAGGAGAACGCTACCTGCCCGAATGCATAGTGCCAGCTGTAAGGTTTGGTGGAAGAGGAATAATGGTCTGGGGCTGTTTTTCATGGTTCGGGCTAGGCCCCTTAGTTCCAGTGAAGGGAAATCTTAAAGCTACAGCATACAATGACATTCTAGACGATTCTGTGCTTCCAACTTTGTGGCAACAGTTTGGGGAAGGCCCTTTTCTGTTTCAGCATGACAATGCCCCCGTGCATAAAACAAGGTCCATACTGAAATGGTTTGTCGAGATCGGTGTGAAAGAACTTGACTGGCCTGCACAAAGCCCTGACCTCAACCCCATTGAACACCTTTGGGATGAATTGGAACGCCGACTGCGAGCCAGGCCTAATCGCCCAACATCAGTGCCCGACCTCACTAATGCTCTTGTGGCTGAGTGGAAGAAAGTTCTCGCAGCAATGTTCCAACATCTAGTGAAAAGCCTTCCCAGAAGAGTGGAGGCTGTTATAGCAGCAAAGGGGGGACCAACTCCATATTAATGCCCATGATTTTGGAATGAGATGTTCGACGAGCAGGTGTCCACATACTTTTGGTCATGTAGTGTATGCAGTGTTTACCATGAATGCAGTCTCCTCTAACGCGGGAACATTGCCTTTAAATTTCAATCGCGCTGTTGAATAGTGTGTCACCATGGCAATAGTGTGTCACCTTGGCAACAACTGTGGACACTTATGTCCTTACCTGACTGTGGGTCGGTGTGGGCCCCCCCCCCCTTTTCAGCCATGTCCAGGCCCAGCCTCTGTCTCAGGGAGGTCAGGGTGCGAGAGGGGAGTTGATCCGAGATGGACTCCAGGTACTTCAGCACGTAGTGGTCAGCATCGGTCAGTACAAAGCGGTGTCTGAAAACTGAGGGAGGGTAGGAGGGAAAAGGGACCATGAGAGTGGGGATATCAATGTGAATGGTTGTACTAAAGGTTCAATCTGACCTGAGACACTCATGCACTGAGGCAACAGGGTCTATAGAACAATAACACTGTTCTTCACCAGTGAAATACATGTGTTTTTGGTTGGAAGAAGGTTCTGATCGAAATGGACTGTAATGTCAATGAGGCTAGAATTAAACCTGGTCCCAGATCTGCCACGCCAACGACTATAGGAGTTGGCAAGACAGCACAAACAGATCTGGGACTAGACTAAACTTTATAGGAGCTACACTACATCTCCTCCAAGCTAAAACATCTCTCTGAACAGAACAGTTCAACATCTCTGTGAACAGAACAGTACAACACTCTGTGAACAGAACAGTACAACACTCTTTGAACATAACAGTACAGCACCAGGAAGCCTACCCTCCACGGTGTCTCCGATGGCGAAGTCGGCCGGCCCATAGAACTCGGGCTTGTCCACGGTGCAGCCCGGCTTGGGGATGCGTGTCTTCTCCAGGAACTGGCCGCCGATGATGCCAGAGTTGCGCGTGGACGTCTCGAAGATACTGATCATGTCATTGGACAGGAAGTAGGAGAGGATGAAGCGGCGGCCCTCGTCCTTGGGATTCTGGGAGTCCTGTGATGTCAGAGCGAGGGTGGAAGAAAATGAAGATGGTGATTGGTTACACTCATAAAGGGTGACTGAGATATGAGATGTCACAACTAGCATGTAAACATGTTTCTCAGTGGTTGTCATGGCCTATTGGGGTTCAGATTCAACCTCTTGACCAGTGACACTAATACCAGTCTCAGTAGTGTGAAAAGGGTATTACAGCAACTAGCTTCCCAGAGCCCCAGGTAGAGACCCCACTCCCCCCCCCCCCCCCCAACAGCCCCTCACCATTCTGGCAGCGTAGCGCAGAACTTTGTGGTCGTTCTCCAGCATCTTCATCAGGTCCTTCTTAGGGGGCTCAGGGATCAGAGACAGGCAATTCTGAAGGGAGTCCTCCAGAGAACCAAAACCATTGTAGGGAGGAACCTGTAGATGGAATAGAGGAGAGGAGAGGTGAGGTGAGGAGAGGTGAGGTGAGGAGAGGTGATGGGATGTATGTGACAGAAACAGGCAACCTCTCATGCAGCTGGGACTGGCGGACAAATGAACAGATAGAACCTCCCTCCCACCCGCTCAACCACCCACTCAACCACCCACGAGGGAGAGGATATGGGGTGTAGAAGTAGGCATGGGCAGAAAAAACAATCCATCCCTTCCTCCCACCAACCCTCCCTAACTCCACCAATCTATCCCTTCATCCCACCAACCTTCCCGAACTCCACCAATCCATCCATCCCTTCCTGCCACCAACCTTCCCTAACTCCACCAATCCATCCCTCCCTCCCTTCCTCCCTCCCTCCCTCCCTCCCTAACTCCCTAACTCCACCATTCCAACCCTTCCTTCCTCACACCAACCCTCCTTAACTCCACCAATCCAACCCTTCCTTCCTCACACCAACCCTCCTTAACTCCACCAATCCATCCCTTTCTTCCTCACACCAACCCTCCTTAACTCCACCAATCCAACCCTTCCTTCCTCACACCAACCCTCCCTAACTCCACCAGTCCATCCCTTCCTCCCACCAACCCTCCCTAACTCCACCAATCTATCCCTTCCTCCCTCCCACCAACCCTCCCTAACTCCACCAATCCATCCCTCCCTCCCTCCCTCCCACCAACCCTCCCTAAATCCACCAATCCAACCCTCCCTAACTCCACCAATCCACACCTTCCTCCCACCAACCCTAACTCCACCAATCCATCCCTTCCTCCCACCAACCCTAACTCCACCAATCCAACTCTTCCTTCCTCCCACCTACCAACCCTACCTAACTCCACCAATCCATCCCTTCCTCCCTCCCTCCCACCAACCCTCCCTAACTCCACCAACCCTCCCTAACTCCACCAATCCAACTCTTCCTACCACCCACCAACCCTCCCTAACTCCACCAATCCAACTCTTCCTCCCACCCACCAACCCTCCCTAACTCCACCAATCCAACCCTCCGCCCTTTCACCTTATGCCTGTCGTGCAGCTCTGTGGTCTTCTTGACCACAGGTTTGGGTTTGAGCTCTAGGTCGGGGTGGTTCTTCTGGTAGTAGGTCTTGGTGAACTCGTCACAGTCATAGAGCAGGAAGCGCCGGCCCATCAGCTGCAGGGTCTCGCCCACCTGGAAGTCCTTGGGCGAGTAGTACTGGTGCACCTCCTGGGGGGACACCTCCAGTACACAGCTAGGGAAGGGCTCTGGAGATGGGAGGAAGGTCATGGGGACTGTTGTATAGTCATTAGAAACACATGGGGACTGTTGTATAGTCATTAGAAACACATGGGACTGGTGTATAGTCATTAGAAACACATGGGGACTGTTGTATAGTCATTTGAAGTATGTGGGGACTGTTGTATAGTCATTTGGAGGACATGGGGACTGTTGTATAGTCATTAGAAACACATGGGGACTGTTGTATAGTCATTAGAAACACATGGGGACTGTTGTATAGTCATTTGAAACACATGGGGACTGTTGTATAGTCATTAGAAACACATGGGACTGTTGTATAGTCATTAGAAACACATGGGGACTGTTGTATAGTCATTAGAAACACATGGGGACTGTTGTATAGTCATTAGAAACACATGGGACTGGTGTATAGTCATTAGAAACACATGGGGACTGTTGTATAGTCATTTGAAGTATGTGGGGACTGTTGTATAGTCATTTGGAGGACATGGGGACTGTTGTATAGTAATTAGGAGGACATGGGGACTGTTGTATAGTCATTAGAAACACATGGGGACTTTTGTACAGTCATTAGAAGGACATGGGGACTGTTGTATAGTGGGTGTGTCCAAACTTTTGACTGGTACTGTATGTATATATATATATATATTGTCTAATAGGTGCAGTGAAATGTGTTGTTTTACAGCCATAGTAGTACGGCACCCATGGAGCAAATTAGGGTTAAATGCCTCGCTCAAGGGCACATCCACAGATTTTTGACCTTTTGGTTACTGGCCCAACACTCTTAACCGCTAGGCTACCTGCCGCCCCAATTGAACCCCTGATTTAAATTGAACTGATTTTAACCCCCGTCACCAAGGATATCTGTGGCCTGGAGTCTGCAGTGCTCACCACTACCCCACTCCGGCATCACTGTACTCATCTTCACAGAGAAATTAGTTCCAATAGCAAAATGCATGACGACAACAGGCCTTACCGCAGGCTGTTTTGATGTTCTTGTGCTGCAAGGGAAGGGGTCCCGGTCACTGTTGGGCTCTCTCAGCATTAACCCGTATAGATCACTACACAGAGAAACTAGTGCCGATAGCTACAGTAACAGCGAGACTTACTGCAGGCTGGTTTGATGTTCTTGGGCAGCCTCTGTCTGCGTAGCAGCACAGGGAAGGGGTCTCGGCCACTGTTGGGTTCATGGACCTCTCGGATCTCCACTGAGTCATCCACCAGATAGTACTGGATTGTCACAGGCCTGGCCTCCCCGTACAGAGAGTCAGTGTAGTCCCACAGCGCAAAGAAACGCAGCACCTATTGATACATATGGACAGAGGTCAAAGGTTATAGAGAGAATAAGATCCTGATGAGGTCATGTTTAGCCATAGAAATAGTTACGTGTGTTTAAACCCATACTATATCCTTTGAGAGTCCTTTGCTTGGACTGATTTGAATATAAATCATGGTAAAATGGTACATGACTAAGCTATAGGAAGATTTTACTTACAGTGAGCTCCAAAAGTATTCGGACAGTGACACATTTGTTGTTGTTTTGAAATGATACAATGACTATGAGGTTAAAGTGCAGACTGTCAGCTTTAATTTGATGGTATTTTCAGCCACATCGGGTGAACCGTTTAGAAATTACAGTACTTTTTGTAAATAGTCCCCCCATTTTAGGGAACCAAAAGTATTGGGACAAATTCAATCATGTGTATTAAAGTAGTCAAAAGTTTAGCATTTGGTCCCATATTCCTGGCACACAATGATTACATCAAGCTTGTGACTCTACAAACTTGTTGGATGCATTTGTCTTTTGTTTTGGTTGTGTTTCAGATTATTTTGTGCCCAATAGAAATGAATGGTTAATAATGTACTGTGTCATTTTGGAGACACTTTTATTGTAAATAAGAATAGATTATGTTTCTAAACACTTCTACATTAATGTGGATGCTACCATGATTACAGATAGTCCTGAATGAATCGTGAATAATTATGAGTGAGAAAGTTACAGACGCACAAATATCATACCCACAAGACATGCTAACCTCTCGCCATTACAATTACAGGGGAGGTTAGCATTTTTTTGAAGGAAGGGGGGGGTTAAACACATTTCTAGTGGCAAATGTGTTAATTTATAACCATGGTATAAAAGGGATAATCAACTCGGAGCTCTATGTGTTCTTTTGAAAATAATGCAACTCCGTGGAAGGTCAATTCCATTCCACTAGTGTGTCGTGGAACACACTTTCCACATCGTATATTATTTTCCATAGAATGCATAGCCCCTCGTTGATTATCCTTATCTAACTTTCTCAATCATCATTATTCACGATTCATTCAGGACTATCTGTAATCATGGTAGCATCCACATTAATGTAGAAGTGTTTAGAAACATATTCTATTCTTATTTACAATAAAAGTGACTCCAAAATGACACAATACATTATTTACCATTCATTTCTATTGGGCACAAAATTATCTGAAACACAACCAAAACAAACAGCAAATGCATTCAACACGTTTGTAGAGTCACAAGCTTGATGTAATCATTGCGTGCCAGGAATATAGGACCAAATACTAAACTTTTGACTCCTTTAATACAAATATAAGTGAATTATTCCCAATACTTTTGGTCCCCTAAAATGGGACTATGTACAAAAAGTGCTGTAATTTCTAAACTGTTCACCTGATATGGATGAAAATACCCTCAAATTAAAGCTGACAGTCTGCACTTTAACCTCATAGTCGTTGTATAATTTCCAATCCAAAGTGCTGGACTGCAAAACAACAAAACATGTGTCACTGTCCCAAGAGCTCACTGTACATCAATTGTGTTTTTACACATGTATGCAGGTGCTGGAGATCAATTAATATGTTAATCAAAAGATTTTATGAAGTGCATGGGAGCATTGATTGCATGGCTTACATAGGTGATGAGTGTCAGATAATGACATTGGGCCTCATATCGACCAATAGATAATATCCATATGAGAGGCATATAGGAGTCAGGGAGACTAAGTATAGCCCGCTCACCTTGCGGTCCATGGTGAGGAACTGCTTGAGGCGGTCGAAGACGGGTGGGGTGATGTAGGAGCGTCCAGCCTGGGAGCGCCGCTGGATGTACGGGTCGACCGGGGTCGGCTCAGGGTCGTTCAGAACCAGACCCTCGCTCTCCATGAAGTCCTGACCACATGAGACACAGTACAGAGTATATATTATAGCATAGATACAGATAATATACAGTACCAATCAAAGGTTTGGACACACCTACTCATTCCAGGGTTTTTCTTTACATTGTAAAACAATAGTGAAGACATCAAAACTATGAAATAACACATAGGGAATCATGTAGTAACCAAAAAAGTGTTAAACAAATCATAATATATTTAATATTCTAGATTCTTCAAAGTAGCCACCCTTTGCCTCGATGACAGCTTTGCACACTCTTGGCATTTTCTCAACCAGCATCATGAGGAATGCTTTTCCAACAGTCTTGAAGGAGTTCCCACATATGTTGAAAACTTGTTGGCTGCTTTTCCTTCACTCTGCGGTCCAACTCATCCCAAACCATCTCAATTGGGTTTTCTCTCTCGCTCTCCTCCAACACTACTCACTCTGCCCCTACTCAGATGGTAATGTGCCATTGCAACCTTCGCTCTCTCTATCCCGCTACTCTCTCCTCTTCCATCCTGTCATCTCTTCCCTCTGCTAAATCCTTCTCATTCTGATCTCCTGATTCTGCCTCCTCTACCCTCCTCTCCTCCCTTTCTGCATCTTTTGACTCTCTATGTCCCCTATCCTCCCGGCCGGCTCGGTCCTCCCCTCCTGCTCCGTGGCTTGACGACTCATTGCGAGCTCACAGAAGAGGGCTCCGGGCAGCCGAGCGGAAATGGAGGAAAACTAGACTCCCTGCGGACCTGTCATCTTTTCACTCCCTCCTCTCTACATTCTCTTCCTCTGTTTCCGCTGCTAAAGCCACTTTCTACCACTCTAAATTTCAAGCCTCTGCCTCTAACCCTAGGAAGCTCTTTGTCACCTTCTCCTCCCTGCTGAATCCTCCTCCTCCTCCCCCTCCCTTCTCCCTCTCTGTGGATGACTTCGTCAACCATTTTGAAAAGAAGGTTGACGACATCCGATCCTCATTTATTAAGTCAAATGACACCGCTGGTCCTGCTCACACAGCCCTACCCTATGCTTTGACTTCTTTCTCCCCTCTCTCTCCAGATGAAATCTTGCGACTTGTGACGGCCGGCCGCCCAACAACCTGCCCGCTTGACCCTATCCCCTCCTCTCTTCTCCAGACCATTTCCGGAGACCTTCTCCCTTACCTCACCTTGCTCATCTACTCATCCTTGACCGCTGGCCATGTCCCTTCCGTCTTCAAGAGAGGGAGAGTTGCACCCCTCCTCAAAAAACCTACACTCGATCCCTCCGATGTCAGCAACTACAGACCAGTATCCCTTCTTTCTTTTCTCTCCAAAACTCTTGAGCGTGCCGTCTCTAGCCAACTCTCGTGCTATCTCTCTCAGAATGACCTTCTTGATCCAAACCAGTCAGGTCTCAAGACTGGTCATTCAACTGAGACTGCTCTTCTCTGTGGCACGGAGGCTCTCCGCACTGCTAAAGCTAACTCTCTCTCCTTTGCTCTTATCCTTCTAGACCTATCCACTGCCTTTGATACTGTGAACCATCAGATCCTCCTCTCCAACCTCTCGGAGTTGGGCATCTCCGGCGCTGCTCACTCTTGGATTGCGTCCTACCTGACAGGTCGCTCCTACCAGGTGGCGTGGCGAGAATCTGTCTCCGCACCACATGCTCTCACCACTGGTGTCCCCCAGGGCTCAGTTCTAGGCCCTCTCCTATTCTCTCTATACACCAAGTCACTTGGCTCTGTCATATCCTCACATGGTCTCTCCTATCATTGCTACGCAGACGACACACAATTCATTTTTTCCTTTCCTTTCCTTCTGATAACCAGGTGGCGAATTGCATCTCTGCATGTCTGGCAGACATATCAGTGTGGATGTCGGATCACCACCTCAAGCTGAACCTCGGCAAGGCGGAGCTGCTCTTCCTCCCGGGGAAGGACTGCCCGCTCCATGATCTCGCCATCACGGTTGACAACTCCATTGTGTCCTCCTCCCAGAGTGCAAAGAATCTTGGCGTGACCCTGGACAACACCCTGTCGTTCTCCGCTAACATCAAAGTGGTGACCCGATCCTGCAGGTTCATGCTCTACAACATTCGCAGAGTACGACCCTACCTTACACAGAAAGCGGCACAGGTCATAATCCAGGCACTTGTCATCTCCCGTCTGGATTACTGCAACTCGCTGTTGGCTGGGCTCCCTGCCTGTGCCATTAAACCCCTACAACTTATCCAGAACGCTGCAGCCCGTCTGGTGTTCAACCTTCCCAAGTTCTCTCATGTCACCCGCTCCTCCGCACACTCCACTGGCTTCCAGTTGAGGCTCGTATCTACTACAAAACCATGGTGCTTGCCTACGGAGCTGTGAGGGGAACGGCACCTCCTTACCTTCAGGCTCTGATCAGACCCTACACCCAAACGAGGGCACTACGTTCATGCGTTCAAGCTCCCCCACGAGGCCAGGACAGCGGAGTCACTGACCACCTTCCGGAGACACTTGAAACCCTACCTCTTTAAGGAATACCTGGAATAGTATAAAGTAATCCTTCTTCCCCCACCACCCCCCAAAAAAGAAAAGAAAAAGGTGGTTGTCCCACTGGCTATCATAAGTTCAATGCACCAATTTGTAAGTCGCTCTGGATAAGAGCGTCTGCTAAATCATGTAAATGTCAATTGTGGAGGCCTGGTCATCTGATGCAGCACTCCATCACTCTCCTTCCTGGTCAAATAGCCCTTACACAGCCTGGAGGTGTGTTTTGGGTCACTGCCCTGTTGAATAAAAAATGATAGTCCCACTAAGCGCAAACCAGATGGGGTGGCGTATCGCTGAAGAATGCTGTGGTAGCCATGATGGTTAAGTGTGCCTTGAATTCTAAATAAATCACAGACAGTGTCACCAGCAAAGCACCCCCACACCCTCACACCTCCTCCTCCATGCTTCATGATGGGAACCACACATGTGGAGATCATCCGTTCACCTACTCTGCGTCTCACAAAGACACGGTGGTTGGAACCAAAAATCTCAAATTTGGACTCATCAGACCAAAGGACAGATTTCCACCGGTCATTGCGCTGAGGTGCAGTTACCTCTAATTAACTTATCCTCTGCAGCAGAGGTAACTCTGGGTCTTCCTTTCCTGTGGCGGTCCTCATGAGAGCCAGCTTCATCAAAGCGCTTGATGGTTTTTGCGACTGCACTTGAAGAAACTTTCAAAGTTCTTGATATTTTCCGGATTGACTGACCTTCATGTCTTAAAGTAATGATGGACTGTCGTTTCTCTTTGCTTATTTGAGCTGTTCTTGCCATAATATGCACTTGGTCTTTTACCAAATAGGGCTATCTTCTGTATACCACCCCTACCATGTCACAACACAACTGATTGGCTCAAACGCATTAAGAAGGAAATCAATTCCACAAATTACCTTTTAACAAGGCACACCTGTTTAATTGAAATGCATTCCAGGTGACTAGAGTGAGGGAAAAAAGTATTTGATCCCCTGCTGATTTTGTACGTTTGCCCACTGACAAAGACATGATCAGTCTATAATTTTAATGGTAGGTTTATTTGAACAGTGAGAGAATAACAACAAAGAAATCCAGTAAAACGCATGTCAAAAATGTTATAAATTGATTTTCATTTTAATGAGGGAAATAAGTATTTGACCCCCTCTCAATCAGAAAGATTTCTGGCTCCCAGGTGTCTTTTATACAGGTAACGAGCTGAGATTAGGAGCACACTGTTAAAGGGAGTGCTCCTAATCTCAGCTTGTTACCTGTATTAAAGACACCTGTTCTCAGAAGCAATCAATCAATCAGATTCCAAACTCTCCACCATGGCCAAGACCAAAGAGCTATCCAAGAATGTCAGGGACAAGATTGTAGACCTACACAAGGCTGGAATGGGCTACAAGACCATCGCCAAGCAGCTTGGTGAGAAGGTGACAACAGTTGGTGCGATTATTCGCAAATGGAAGAAACACAAAATAACTGTCAATCTCCCTCGGCATGGGGCTCCATGCAAGATCTCACCTCGTGGAGTTGCAATGATCATGAGAACGGTGAGGAATCAGCCCAGAACTACACGGGAGGATCTTGTCAATGATCTCAAGGCAGCTGGGACCATAGTCACCAAGAAAACAATTGGTAACACACTACGCCATGAAGGACTGAAATCCTACAGCGCCCGCAATGTCCCCCTGCTCAAGAAAGCACATATACATGCCTGTCTGAAGTTTGCCAATGAACATCTGAATGATTCAGAGGAGAACGGGGTGAAAGTGTTGTGGTCAGATGAGACCAAAATGGAGCTCTTTCGCATCAACTCAACTCGCCGTGTTTGGAGGAGGAGGAATGCTGCCTATGACCCCAAGAACACCATCCCAACCGTCAAACATGGAGGTGGAAACATTATGCTTTGGGGGTGTTTTTCTGCTAAGGGGACAGGACAACTTCACCGCATCAAAGGGACGATGGACGGGGCCATGTACCGTCAAATCTTGGGTGAGAACCTCCTTCCCTCAGCCGGGGCATTGAAAATGTGTCGTGGATGGGTATTCCAGCATGACAATGACCCAAAACACACGGCCAAGGCAACAAAGGAGTGGCTCAAGAAGAAGCACATTAAGGTCCTGGAGTGGCCTAGCCAGTCTCCAGACCTTAATCCCATAGAAAATCTGTGGAGGGAGCTGAAGGTTCGAGTTGCCAAACGTCAGCCTCGAAACCTTAATGACTTGGAGAAGATCTGCAAAGAGGAGTGGAACAAAATCCCTCCTGAGATGTGTGCAAACCTGGTGGCCAACTACAAGAAACATCTGACCTCTGTGATTGCCAACAAGGGTTTTGCCACCAAGTACTAAGTCATGTTTTGCAGAGGGGTCAAATACTTATTTCCCTCATTAAAATGCAAATCAATTTATAAAATTTTTGACATGCGTTTTTCAGGATTTTTGTTGTTGTTATTCTGTCTCTCACTGTTCAAAGAAACCTACCATTAAAATTATAGACTGATCATTTCTTTGTCAGTGGGCAAACGTACAAAATCAGCAGGGGATCAAATACTTTTTTCCCTCACTGTACCTCATGAAGCTGGATGAGAGAATGCCAAGAGTGTGCAAAGCTGTCATTAAGGCAAAGAGTGGCTACTTTGAAGAATCTCAAATATATATTGATTTGTTTAACACTTTTTTGGTTACTACATGATTCCATATGTGTTATTTCATAGTTTTGATGTCTTCACTATTATTCTACAATGTAGAAAATAGTAAAAATAAAGAAAAACCCTGGAATGAGTAGGTGTGTCCAAACTTTTTACTGGTACTGTACATACCAAGGATCTGGACGTATTCAACACAGAACATGAAAAGTAAACAAAGTGCATTTCACAACATAGTGAGGAAAACTAGTCAGATGTTTACGTGTGTGTGTGTGTGTGTGATGTGTGTCTAACTGACTATGTGTCACAGTGAGTAAGATGTGTGTGTGTTTACCGTGTGTATATTTCACTTTGTGTTAGTGTTTACCTATGTGTTGGTATCCTAGTGTGTGATAGATAACGTGTGTGATGTGTTTGTGTATCGTATCTATTCACCTGTGTGTGGCTGTCGCAGTGTGTGACGCGGTAGACGGTGCCGTACACCACCAGGTCCATGCCCACGTTGAGATCTTTCCAGTGGTAGTGGTCGCCGCGGTCGTTCTTGGGCAGCCTCTGGCGCTTGATCAGCTTGCCCTGCAGTCGAGGAAGAATGGAGTCACGCATCGAAAATAGGCTCATAGTCATATCTCCTATCAATTTTGTCCTAGAAGAAAAACCAAAACATCTTCTAAAATAGTTATTTAGAACGTTGCAGTGCGTTAGTTCACAGCGCAGCTGTCTTTGCTAGGGGAAAATGTCGCCCTAAGTACAAATACACATTTCAAGTGGAACTTACAGCGTTTTAACTACTTTGCAGATATGAAACAAACAGACAATCATAATATCAGTAAAAAAAAATCAATTTCCCAGTTTATGCTACAAAACCAACTTTATAAGAGGTTTTAAAAATAGGTTATATTTGCCTCAACATTCCATGACGTACACTAAGGCATTGTTGGCAGAATAAATTGAAGCAGTTCAATGCATGATTAATATATAATTCACCAATACATTTCTTGGTAGTCCAAAAAATATTGCTATCAGGTTGTAAATCACAGCTGGCCTGGTACAATGTTTGCTGCCTCAATTCGGAATGCACTGTTTTAGTTTTAATGGCTCAATATTTTGGGCAAAAACGGACTAATGTAACTAAGGCTGGGAATGACAATACAATCAAACTAGCAAGGGCAATGATCACAAGCCAGTCATAACGTGACTAATAGGTTAGCGTATCTATTTATATAGCAACAAGCTAAAAACACAGAGCCTAACATTAGCTAGATAGTTAGCTAGCTATCTGCTAGGAGGATGTCATGTCATGTCATTGGAGGAGTGGGTGAGTGACTGACTTTTTCCCCTCATATCGTTTTTCGGTGGCTATACACAGCTAGAGATGCAGGTGTCATTTGGTTAGCTAGCAAGAACTTGAACAACTGTTATCCAGTTAGCATATCTCTTTTGTTCGCAAATTCACTATCTATCTACTCCAATTTCAGAGCACTCTCATCTGTGTGCCAGAGCACAGAATAACTGATGAACTTACGAACATGCAACATCCGCTGAATATGACCGGTCAGTAAACGTAGGCAAAGAAAGTAATAGTTAGTCACGAACAGTCTAGATAACATGCAAACAGACTAAACAGCTCTGCTAGGGCAAGTAAAATAGTCAGAGTAAGTTGTTCTCTCATTTGTGTCTGGAAGTAGCTAGCAAGCTAGCCAACTTTAGCCAGTTAGCTTTGGGTGCATTGCTGGCAAGTAAGTTGCAGAAGGACGAGTAGACTACAATTCCCCATTGTTTATCAATGCAATTTTGATGGCCAAATAACTGAAAATGTTTGAGAGGGTTTATCTAATGTTCCTTCGTTAGATGTTAGCTCATCTTTCTCTGGCTAGCATTAGTTGTTTTATTTACTGCAGTGTCTATTAATTGTCCAAATGCATGGCCGCTGTTCCCACTCTATATTGCTATAGAATTTTCACAAATGTCTTAGTATACGTAATTCCCAAACATTATAAGAATTTATGAAAAGTTGAAAATGACCATATCTAAGTGCTCGCTTGTCAGAAAATGTTTCTAAAAGTGTCATATTCTCCCTGGGGGTGTATACGAACAGATTTTAATAAGATTTCATGTTGCTAAAATTCTGTCAGTTCCACTTTAAGTGGAAGTTAAGATTCTTATCTCCTCCGATCTTCTTTGCCTACTTGTGGTATCCCAGAGTTCTCCACCACCGGTTCCATGATACACATGCTGTCGTCCTCCTGGTAGTAGTAAATGACCACAGGGCGCACGCGGTAACCCTCCTGGGGCGAGTGCAGCACCTCCTGCTGGAAGTAGCCATAGAAACGCAGCACCTGGAGGAGAGGAAATGGGAGTGGGTGAGGGGAGAGGGGAGGAGAGAGTGAAAAGGAGGAGGGGCAAGGGAGGAGAGAAGAGGGATGAGAGAGAAAGCAAAGGGAGAGGGCAGATCAGTGTATTCCTCTGCCTGGATACTGTTCTGTAAAAACTTCAGAAAACAATGATATCATTTCATAGTTGCCCAGCCTGAGGCTATAGTAGCATGCCTTCTTGTCATAAGCAACATGAGCAGGGATGAAGTCCAGTGCCGGGCTGTAGTGGGTTGTGCCATAGGTGAGGGCAGGCGTCTGATTGGACAACTGGTTGATCTCACTCTGGGTCAGCTCACTGGACAGGAGAGGGGCTTGTCCGATGCCAACCTTTGGCCGGTGCGGCAGGGCATAGCCGTTCTTATAGGACAGGGTTTGAGGACGATGGTGAGCTGATTTCTAGACAGAAATATATATATTTTTAAAGTGTCAAGGGAGGTATCAAGGATGTGGTCAGTACAGCATAGATAATCAGGAAAATAGGCATTTTGGCTAGGGGATAGTTCAGATTCATAGCTCTGTTCCATGGCATAGTGCACTTCTCCCTCCACTACTAACAGAGGAATATAGTAGAGGAATGTGCCATATGTCCTGGACCAGAACTAGTCCGTTTCTATAAAATGAGGATAAGCAGGAATTCACAGGACATTCATCAGGAAAAGAGGGGAAATCAAATCCCCTGGGCATTATAAAATTTAAGTTTTGGGCTTTTACTTTGACTGTAATGGAATACCTCGTCAAATAATATGCTTGGTATGTTGACCATAGCAGCAGAGGTTGACAGATTCATGGTTTTACACTGCCATTTGTAGACAGTTTATTTATGCAGTAGTCTGTTTCAAGTGTATCAAGTTGCAGTTAAGTAGCCTAATGTAACTCAGTCAAACAGAGATTGGCTAATAAAAAAAAAAAACTTCAATCATATATAGCTAGTTAACAATTTGAGAAAATAGCTGACAAAATAGGACAAAATGCACTTTTATGCTAGCCATTTGTCATTTCACAGTGCACTAGCCACATTCCAAAGCATGAGCTTGATGGATAATTACTTAAGTAGGCCACTTTGTTGCAATCGAACACCGAAGGAAACTTTTGTAGCAAACTATTCAAAGAGTAAGTAGCCTTCAGCATAATACATTTAAAAAGTCTGATACATTGTTGCAGGTTTATTTGACCCGGCTCAAATAGAAACTAAATGAATTTACCGTAACATCCCGAAAGGTGTTTCCTGGCAAAAATGGTAAGCCATGTCCCGTGTTTATCGACATTGCTTATAATACTCAAAAGTTCAAATAAGTGTTTTGAACATAGAAATAATGGACAAATACTGAACAGAAACTATAAAGGTTTAGCTAGCAGGCAATTCACATAATTTGTCGAACTCTGGTTTAAATTAGGCCGATTTGACCAAGGAAACAGAAGAATAGTATCAGTTGCCATGGGGAAATATAAACAAAACATCACTCAATTAAAATGCGCGAAATTCGCATGTCTCGCCGCCAGATGGCGCGCAATCTTCATGATACACAACAGTAATACCGGTAATGTGGATCAAATATCAGTGGTAGATTCACATAGGTAAAAAATAACACAACCAATGAGTCAAGATCTTATTTTCAACAGTTTATTCCAAGCACAGGAGTCATATTTTGGTCTCACCAGCTATTGCCATATATTTTTTTGTCCCATTCAAATTGAAACACAAAAGCATTTTCAATATAAAACCATTTAATGATTGCAGTTGAAGTGAAGATTATTCACTGCATTCTCAACTCCCCTCTCAGTCAAGAAAATCCCAAACGTCTTATGATAAACCATGATACCTATGGTTCAACCCAGTGCAACAGAACTGGATGAATATAGCTTAATACTATATTAACAACATGATCATTACAATAAACCTGACAGATAGCCAGCGCTATGATGTCCCAAGAGGGTCAACACTAGTCTTGATGACCACAGTAATAATTCGGAAGCTATTTCACTGGTAGACAATTGAAGATATGTTTTCTTTTTTTTAACATATATTTTAGCCATTTCCTAGCTGGTCCTAGATCTGTTTGTGCTGTCTTATCAAGTCCTATGGCCATTGGCATGACAGAGCACATTATCTGGGACCTGCCTCGCCATTTTAACATGGACAACACACACACAAGCCTGTTTGACAAAGTGAGAAACATAACATATTGAGAAACATGGAAAATAAACATGATTGGAATTGATTGATTGTTTCATAAATTCATAATGATTGGTTGACTCAGGTGACTGGGGTTTTCTTTTCCACCAATAGACATCCTTGTTGCCAGGTAAGGCACTGCACTGTGCATCTTATAACATATAAAAAAATAAGCTTAATAAATCACTTGACCTCCAAGGTTTTTTAAATGATGATTTTCTAAAAAAAATGTATGCTGACACATCTGGAGTATTGTACTGGGCCTTAATTCATAAAGTCTCAGAGTAAGAGTGCTGATCTAGGGTCCGTTTTGCCTTTTAGATCATAATGAACAACATTACATGGACAGGGGGGACCTGATCCTCCATCAGCACTCATACTCGAGACACTTGTTAAATACAGGCCCTGATCCCCTTCTTAGGAAGCCAATATAAACTACCATACACAGAAACAATAGGGGGCTCCGTCCAAAATGGAACCCTATTCCCTATGTAGCGCACAAATGTTGTCCAGCGCTTTGCCAGATCCATAAGTGGCTCTAGCCAAAAGTAGTGCACTATAAAGTGAATAGGGTGCCATTTGGGACGTAGGCCCTAGGATTGCATACCTGAGGTGCCAGACAAGCTTCAATCGCCACAGTATAAAAATATCTCATAATAATAACTGTAAAGAAAAAAATACACAATAACAAAAAAAAAAACTATTAAATATTATATAAAATACATTTCATAAAGGGTTTGAGATGAATTCCAAAAAACACATTTTGGGTTCAAAAGGCAGCGTCGGTTGACCGTAGTCATTTCCCTCTTAAGTGTTACGCTGTACATTTCACTGTAAGTGCTATGCCTCTCCGAAAACCATTCACCCATTTAAATACTGGAGGGTGAGTGAGCATGAAGCAAGCTGCCCAATTCTCAATATCTACTAGGCAACACTGGAGTAACATTAGCAACTGTCCTTAAGTCACCTTTCAGGCTTCACAGCCTACATATCCCAAGATCCTCCACTTCAGGAGGGTGTGATGAGGTCAAATGCAAGGCTGTGCAGTTAGATGACCTTCCACCTTCAGCCTCCACCAATGAGAGGTGTGCTCCGGTCGAGCATACCATGCTGAGAAGGAGGAGCTTATTCTCACTGCAGAAACAGAGGGGGGGCTTTGCTCTAGAGTACCCACATGGATACAGACAGACTGACAGGGGGATCCCCAGACAGAGGGTTCCAAACCTTCACAGGTCATGGGGCCCCATCCCCAAACCCCAGAGGTCCATTTGTGGTCCTACACATCCCATCTCAAGTACTGCGCTCCAACCTTCACAGTCCCCCTTTCTAGATCTAGTAGAGGTTCATTTACGGTCCTGCCTCAGTAATAGCGGTTGAGGCTGCGCGTCCCGGGTATATCCGGTTGACCGTTCATCCAGATCTCTCGTATGATCCTCTCCCTTTCCTCCAGCCGCTGCGCGCGCTCCAGCTCCTCCGCTGACGTGAACACGTTCATGTTGAGCGTGCGCTCGAAGCGGCGGTGGCGGCGTGCCGACAGGTCCGACGTGGTGTCCCAGTCCGAGTCCGAGTCTCTGGAGTCGGACGAGGAGTCGGCAGGTCGCGGGCGCTTCTTGGTGGTGGTGCCGGGGCGACGGCGGGGTTGGCAGTCAGTGCGGCAGGAGATCTGGACCACCAGAGCAAAGAGGGTAAAGAAGAGGCCCAGGCACACGCCACACAAGAAGTAGAGAGCTGCACGCTCTGGGTGGTCTGGAGACAGGGAGGAAGAAAGGGAGGGAGAGAGAGAGAGAGTCAAATACTATCATATATAGAGACAAATTACTCATAGTTCATATGTAGTTCATTCATTCATTTCAAGTACAGGTGTTGCCTTTGAAAGCAAAAACTAATTTAACTCTGACTTGCTTAGCCTGTTTTGCTTGCCTCACACATGCTGGCCTTACACAACTGCTCAGTGAAACAATTTTGAACACAGAGAGATTGGCTTGAAATGAAAGCATCTTCACTTCTGCTCCCATGACCACAGAGACTGGGACAGACAATAGTGGTTAAATCACAGGGGAAGATCACACAGTCTGATAGAGGGAGGGAGGGCCCTCAGGCCTATGTACATCCAGTACAGTGTGTGTTCTGTATGGTTTTCTGACTGTGTCCTTTATGGTAATCTGACTGTGTCCTGTATGGTATGGTTATCGGACTGAGTGTCCTGTATGGTAATCTGACGGTGTCCTGTATGGTATGGTTATTGGACTGAGTGTCCTGTATGGTTATCTGATTGTGTGTACGGTACAGTTACTTCACCAGTAAGTGTGTTTATTTAGCCGTAAGAGTAGGAGGTATAGAAACAGGAAATACTTTTCTCTCTCTCTCTCCCTCTTTCTCCTCCCTCTCTCCTCTGTGTGTTTTAGCAGCTGGATGGAGCAGGTGACGGACGAGGACGGATGTACTGTGTGTGTGTGTGTGTGTGTATATGTGTGTATATGTGTGTGTGAGAGTGTGGCTGTGTGTGCGCGTGTGTGCATGCCTGTGTGGATACACACTGAGTATACAAAACATTAAGAACACCGGCTCTTTCCATGACAGAATGACCAGGTGAATCCATGTGAAAGCTATGATCCCTTATTGATGTCACTTGTTAAATCGACTTCAATCAGGGGATTAGACAGGTGTCACGCCCTGGCTCTGGGGACTATGTTATGTTGAGCCAGGGTGTGTGATTCTATGTTTGTATATCTATGTTGGCCTGAGTGACTCCCAATCAGAGGCAACGAGTGTCAGCTGGTTGTCTCTGATTGGGAGCCATATTTAACTGTCTGGCTTTTCACTTTGTGTTGTGGTTTCTTGTTCTCATTTTGGTTTGTGTATGTAACCAGAGACATCACGTTTTCGTCAGTTATTTTGATCGTGTGATCAGTCTAATAAATACTATGTTCACTTTCAACGCTGCGCCTTGGTCCTCCTCATTAGACGATCGTGACAGAAGAAACCACCATAACAGGACCAAGCAGCGTGAAGAAGAGAGAGGATGGACTTGGGAGCAGTGGAGTAGGAGTCTCGACTGGGCCAAGCCAAGCGAAGAGGAGAGAGGTTGGACTTTGGAGCAGTGGGGTGAGAGTCTGGCGAGAGGGATGGAGGCCTTGGCCACGGGTAGGCGTGAAGCCCATACATTTTTTAGGGGGGGGCTAACGCCGTGGACGACGGGGCAGCAGGAGGCGGCCAGGTTACGGGAGTCACTGGTCACCAGGGGGAAGGAGGATGTAGAGGCACGGCGAGAGGTACTGGCGTGTGTTGCCAGTCCGGTCCGGCCTGTTCCTGATCCCCACGTAGGGCCAGTGATGTGTGTTCCCAGTACGGTCCGGCCTGTTCCTGCTACTCCCACCAAGTCAGTGGTGCGTTTCGTCAGCCCGGTCCGGCCCATTCCTGCTCCCCGCACCAAGTCAGTGGTGCGCGTCGTCAGCCCGGTCCGGCCCGTTCCTGCTCTCCGCACCAAGTCTGTGGTGCGCGTCGCCAGCCCAGTCCGGCCCATTCCTGCTCTCCGCACCAAGTCTGTGGTGCGCGTCGCCAGCCCAGTCCGGCCCATTCCTGCTCTCCGCACCAAGTCTGTGGTGCGCATCGTCAGCCCGGCTCGGCCCGTTCCTGCTCCCCGCACCAAGTCAGTGGTGTGCTTCGTCAGTCCAGCCCAGTCCGGCCTGTCCCTGCTCCACGCACCAAGCCTACGGTGTGCGTCGTCAGCCTGGTAAGGCCCGTTCCTCCTCCACGCACCAAGCCAGGGGTGCGTGTCGTCAGTCCAGCACAACCCGTGCCTGGGTCATGTCCGGAGCCGGATCCGCCGCCGAGGCGGAGTGCCCACCCGGTCCCTCCCCTGTTGTGGTTGTTTGGCGCGGTCGGAGTCCGCGCCTTTGGGGGGGGGTACTGTCACGCCCTGGCTCTGGGGACTATGTTATGTTGAGCCAGGGTGTGTGATTCTATGTTTGTATATCTATGTTGGCCTGAGTGACTCCCAATCAGAGGCAACGAGTGTCAGCTGGTTGTCTCTGATTGGGAGCCATATTTAACTGTCTGGCTTTTCACTTTGTGTTGTGGTTTCTTGTTCTCATTTTGGTTTGTGTATGTAACCAGAGACATCACGTTTTCGTCAGTTATTTTGATCGTGTGATCAGTCTAATAAATACTATGTTCACTTTCAACGCTGCGCCTTGGTCCTCCTCATTAGACGATCGTGACAACAGGTTAAATAAGCATTATTAAGCCTTGAGACAATTGAGACATGGACTGTGTGTGTGTGCCATTCAGAGGGTGAATGGGAAAGACAAAATGTTTTAAGTGCCTTTGAACGGGGTCTGGTAGTAGGTGCCAGGAGCACCGGTTTGTGTCAAGAACTGCAACAGTTTCCCATGTGAAGAATGGTCCACCACCCAAAGAACATCCAGCCAACTTGACACTCCTGTGGGAAAAATTGGAGTCAACATGGGCCAGCATCCCTGTGGAATGCCTTCGACACCTTGTAGAGTCCATGCCCCGACGAATTGAGGCTGTTCTGAGGGTAAAGTGGGGGGTGGGGGTTGTTCAACTCAATATTAGGAAGGTGTTCCTAATGTTTGGTATACTCAGTGTATGTGCGTGTGAGAGTGTGGCTGTGTGTGTGTGTGTGTGTGTGGTGGAAGTTACAGGGGGACCCATCTCTGCTCTAAGTCTGCATTCCTCCAGCCAGTATTTACGTCCTCTCAGTCACTGTGGAGAGGGAACCTCAGTCTAGATTAACGGCTGCACCACTCACATCCACCCTAGCAGAAAGTATACACTGAAGTAGCAATGTCAACCCACTACAGGACCCTAGCATCAACAAGTGTTGATCTTAACACCCTCACAGCCCAATACTAACCTCTTCTCTACTTCACGGTCATCAGAGATTGTGGGAATGTTGCTGTACATGCAAAGTTGCTGTAATGTTATGTGACTGTGGCTGTACCTGCTATGAAGCTGTAGGTTGAGTGAACGTTCAACCTTCTATAAAGGTGTAAATTGTGTGAATGTTGTACTTGCTATGTTGGTTCAACGTCGTGTGAATGAATGTTGCTGTACCTGCTATGTTGCTGTAACGTTGTGTGGTCGTTGCTGTACTTGCTATAACGTTGCTGTACCTGCTATGTAGTTGTAGGCTGCCAGGGCGCTACTGATGAGGGCCATGTTGGTGCTGCCCGTCGTAGCGTTGATTACAGGGTTCATGTCCGGAGGCTGGGGGGCGCTCTCCTTCACTCCTTCTCCTCCCTCGTTCGTCCTCACCTCCCCGGAGTAGGAGCCCGACTCTCTCCCTCGCTTCTTCTTGCCTGAAGGGATAACTAAGAGCATAACATCGGGATCAGATGCTATGATCTCACACACACACACACACACACATACACACCACACACACACACACACCACACACGTTGATACAATGCCAGAGAATCAAGGTTCATTCACTGAGAATCTCACTGAGTCAAACTGCACATCTGTCTCTACTCTGCATAAAGAACACTTAAAGACAACCCAATATGACTGCCAACGCATCGCATTATGTCCCGTGTAGCTCAGTTGGTAGAGCATGGCGCTTGCAACGCCAGGGTTGTGGGTTCAATTCCCACGGGGGACCAGTATGAAAAATAAAAAATGTATGCACTCACTAACTGTAAGTCGCTCTGGATAAGAGCGTCTGCTAAATGACTAAAATGTAAAATGTAAATGATTCAAAGTGAAACATTTTATTTACAATACGTACTTCAGATTAATTGGTTTCAAAAACATGCGTTGTCATATTTAACGTTATACAGCTGTGTTTGTTGCAGTTAGTGATCTGAGTGTCTAGCATGTGTGTGTTCTTTTCAGAGTACTATGAGTGGACTACTGAGTCACCCACACCCACTTCCTCTGTTGCTGTGTTCTCCTCACCACAAGCATTACCATCGCTACACTGTAACCGTAGACGACGCTACTACTAATGTTGACTCAGATCTCCAGCATTCCACTTGGATCTGTCCAGCTAACTCTGACTCACTTCGCTACGGGAATATATATATATTATGGTAATTTCGGGAATCACTGTGTTTGATCCTTATAAAGCTGAAAACATGTGCATATGATCATAGTGATTTCTCTCACAGTTTAAGCTGCTTTCACAATACACTATATTTACCACAAATGTCATGTTCGACTTTCCAAATTTGATACTAGGACTATTGAGTATTGTGTACTGTGAAAGGTAATGTGACTGTATATAGGATTTAGAAATGTTTTGCAGTGTGTAGGCAGTCTGAGACTCTTTAGGTTAGCTAAACTAAAGGAGATCTGAGGTTGAGTTAGTGTGTAGGCAGTCTGAGACTCTGTAGTTTAGGTGTGCTAACCTAAAGGTGATCTGAGGTTGAGTTGTTTGAGTAGTAGTAGATCAACATGCTGGTCTGATTACTTAGCTTCATAATGAATACTTGAGATTGTGTGTCTAAAGTCACTCAACCAACACACTGTCTGTATAAGTCTGTACATCCCCCTGTACTTATAAAGACTAGAGGTGGGCTCACTCTGTAATCCAACACTGACATGTGAGACAGACCTGGCCTACGTTAGTTAGATGTTTGTGTGCAACGCTTCAATGAAAACACAACAACTCAGCCAGACAGCCAGTGTAAACTGGGACAAACACAGAGATGATTTAAACGACCCAAACGAGTGCAGTGTGTGTGTGTGTGTGTGTTTGTGTGTGTGTGTGTGAGGGGTGTGCTCGCACGCACACTCAGACCCTCTAATTGCAGGATCTGTAAGGTGTGTCGTGCACAGCCTTTATCTGATGTAGTTTAGAGAGTGGCACTGCTGACTGAGTAGGTGAGCGTTTCCACCTGGACCGATTGCGGTGTAACACACATTGGCTCACATTCAACCGATACATCACAGACCACTACCTGTTAGATATACTGCTCTCTTATAGAATAAAGTCTGGAAAAGAGATGGCTCAAACAAAGACATTTGATCATTTCAGAATAATATATGGAGCATGTTATGTTATTTTGTTCATGTAAATAAATAAATAAATACATAAAAGACCGGAAAAGACAGATCAAATGGAAAGATTTTGTAGATTTGCGTTTAATGGAAAAATGGTCCCAGCAAACCGGGAACATTCCCAGAGCATGAGCTAAGATTCCCATTAAGTTCTAGTTAGGGTTTTATTTAACATTAGGATGCTAACACCCCGAAAACATTCAAAGAATGTTTTAAATGAAATATCCTTGGAATGTTCTTCTAAGATTCACAACATCTCTAACAACCACCACAGAACATTCCACCAAAGTTCTCATTATGTTTCCAGGTAATGTAATAACACAATGTACCACGGGCCCCGTGTAGCTCAGTTGGTAGAGCATGGTGTTTGCAACGCCAGGGTTGTGGGTTCGATTCCCACGGGGGGCCCAAAAAAATAAAAAATAAAAATAAAAATTGTATACACTCACTAACTGTAAGTCGCTCTGGATAAGAGCATCTGCTAAATGACTAAAATGTAAAAAATGTAATGTTTTTCCCAGCAAACAGAAATTGTTTCTGTGAAAGTTCCCAGAACATTCGTTAGGTTGCGGCAAATGTTCTCATAACACAAAAACTGTCCAGTCATGCTGATGATTATAGAATGTTTGTAAGAACGGTCCTAGAACACAATTTGTCTGTTCTTTAAAAGTTTTCCAGAATGTTTCATTAGGTTGTGGCAACAGTCTGGTGGGAACATTGTAGGGACATGACAAAAGATTTGTTCCCAAAAGACAAAAACTGTCCAGTTGTGTGAATGATTCTACAATGTTTCTTTTAGGGTGCAGAAAATATTTACCTGATGTTACAAGAATGTTCCTAGAACACATTTAGTCTGTTCTTTAAAAGGTTCCCAGAATGTTTTATTAGGTTGTGGAAACATTGTGGGGATATGACAAGAGATAGGTTCCCAAAACACTAAAAATGTCCAGTTGTGCTGACATTCAGATAATGTTTGTATCAGGGTGCACAAAAAAAAAACCTTTGATGTTGAAAGAATGTTGACAGAACAGCCTTTCTGAGTTCCCATAACATTGAATTAGGTTATAGGAACACTGTGGATACATTATATTTTGTATTTTGGGATAGGTTCAGTTGTGATGACATTCATATAATGTTTATTTTTTTAAAATTACTTTTTTGGTATTTTATTAGGAACCCCATTAGCTGTTGCAAAGCAGCAGCTACTCTTCCTGGGGTCCACACAAAACATGAAACATGACATTGTCACGATCGTCGACTGAAGACACGGACCAAGGCGCAGCGTGATAAGCGTACATTTTATTTTGTGTACACCACACGAACAAAACAACAAACCAAACGATACGTGAAGTCCTAGGTTAATACAAAACAAACCTTACGGAACAAGATCCCACAAATACTAGTGCAACACAGGCTGCCTAAGTATGGTCCCCAATCAGAGACAACGAGCTACAGCTGCCTCTGATTGGGAACCACCCTGGCCAACATAGATCTAAACGATCTAGAACGAAAACATAGAAAAACTAAACATAGAAAAATCCACACCCTGGCTCAACCTTTAAGAGTCCCCAGAGCCAGGGCGTGACAGTACCCCCCCCCAAACACAAGAGGGTAGGGGCCGGGTGGGCATTCCGCCTCGGAGGCGGATCCGGCTACGGGCGTGACCACCACTCTCTCTCCACCCCCCCTGTTGTGCCCCTGATCTGGTCTGGCCCCGCTGGCCGGAGCTCGACTGGACACCGGTGGAGCGGATTGCTCTGGCTCCGGAGTGGAGCAGCTGACCGGTGCCGGACCAGGCACCGGTGGAACAGGAACGGGCCGGACCGGGCTGACGACGCGCACCACTGGCTTGGTGCGGGGAGCAGGAACGGGCCGGACCGGGTTGACGACGCGCACCACTGGCTTGGTGCGGGGAGCAGGAACAGGCCGGACCGGGCTGGCGACGCGCACCACAGGCTTGGTGCGAGGGACAAGAACAGGCCGGACCGGGCTGGCGACGCGCACCACTGGTTTGGTGCGAGGGGCAGGAACAGGCCGGACCGGGCTAGCGACGCGCACCACAGCCGTGGTGCGAGGGACAGGAACAGGCCGGACCGGGCTGGCGACGCGCACCACTAGTTTGGTGCGAGGGGCAGGAACAGGCTGGACCGGAACAGGCTGGACCGGGCTGGCGATGCGCACCACTGGCTTGGTGCGAGGGGCAGGAACAGGCCGGACCGGGCTGGCGACGCGCACCACAGCCTTGGTGCGAGGGACAGGAACAGGCCGGACCGGGCTGGCGACGCGCACCACTAGTTTGGTGCGAGGGGCAGGAACAGGCTGGACCGGGCTGGCGACGCGCACCACTGGCTTGGTGCGTGGGACAGGAACAGGCCGGACCGGGCTGGCGACGCGCACCACAGGCTTGGTGCGAGGGGCAGGAACAGGCCGGACCGGGCTGGCGACGCGCACCATTGGCTTGGTGCGGGGAGCAGGAACAGGCCGGGCTGGACTGGGAACACGGAGCCTGCCCAGTCTCACGCTCCCTAGCCTGAGTACGGGGAGTTGGCTCTGCTCTACCTCTAGGCTCCGCCAACCACCCTTTTAGCCCCCAATTTTTTTTTATTGGGGCTGTCTCTCGGGCTTCCTCCTCGGCCGGTACCCTCTGAGTTGCCGCTGCTCCTCTCTGTAGCGCGCCTCCACAGTCTCCTCTCCTGCCTGGGCATTCACCTTTGCCCATTCTTGCAACATCAGGCAAATATTTTATACAAACATTATAATCATCACCACGACTAGAACGTTTTTGTGTTATGAGAACATTTGCCGCGACCTAACGAATGTTCTGGGAACTTACACAGAACCAATTTTGGTTTGCCTGGGGTGGGTGTCTAAAGAAAGCAAGTTCTAGGTCCATCACCTTTTCCCGTTCTTAAAGTTCCGATCCAAACAGGTTTTTCCAAAAGGGTGGCATGTGTGAGGCTAGTGTGTGTG